CTGCCAAGCCCCCCCCCCCACGACGTGTCCCTGGACAGCTGTGGTATCTGCAGCCCGGCTGTGTGACGCAGTGTCACATCACTTACCTCTTTAGTCTCTTCTAGGGGGGGTAAAAGGAAAGTTTAAAAAAAAAAAAAGCACAGTCTCGCCCCGTTTTGTGGCCACCTCTGGCCTATCGTTTACATTCCCTGCCCCCCCCGAACTAGCTTGTTTTTACACCCTCCCATCTCTCCCTGTCCCTCAGGTGTCACGCACTGGAAAATTAGACTCCGGTCCTGTCCCACACTGTGCCTGTGGGGGGCACTCTCTCCGCTCCTAAGCCTATTATTTAGCAGATCCATCATTAGAAGGAGAGTTCTCTCTTATCTGTCACCCCCCCCCCCCCCCCCCCAGCCCCCTCTACTCTCCCTCTATCCTCTCCTGGTCTGACCTACCCAAAGGCCTTTCGTAATTAATAGTCCTCTTGAGACGGGTTCAAAGTCTTTGCGGATGCTGCCTTCTTGGCCACCACACTCCTCCCCCGCCTCCCTCTCTCTTTCCCCCCCCCTCTCTCAATATCCATTCTGCGTTCTGTGCCTCTACACACCTCGGCCACTCTTTATCGGAACGGAACGGGAATCATCCCTCTCCCATCTGGCCGCTTAAGTGCGGAGAATTCCCACAAACTCTCTGTCGCTAAATCATAACGACCAAAGACTATTTGTAGGTGCCTCCTCCAAGCCACAGTTCTGAATAACTTGCGGGACGGATTCTGGGGGCAGGGGGGGAGGGGGCTGCCAGCCCATGCGCTGAAGTGACAGTGAAGCACTTTTGAGGCGATCTCTTGTTCCATGTCTTCTGGGTCACGAGTGCCGGTCCGGCCTGACGTCCGCCGGCGCCGCTGCTGTCCTTCCAGCACATCTGGCACCACAGTCCTGACAATGAGCGATCTGTGGCCGCTCGCCGATTCCTCATGTGACCCCCCCCCCCCCCCCCCCCCCCCCCCCCCCCCCCCCCCCCCCCCCCCCCCCCCCCCCCCCCCCCACCGCCTCATGAGGCCAGCCATTGTCTTACAGCCTCACAGGTCCCTGCTACCCCGAGAAAGGTCGGCACCTTCCATTCCAGTCTCACCTGCCGTCCTGGGAACAAACACGGGGGCCGGAGCGGACTCTGGGAAATCGGCTCGCTGCTTCCCAGACGCGGCTGGATTTACCCCTTCCAGTGAATTTTTAACCAGCCACAGATAGGAATGAGGATTTGACATTGGAAAGAGTCTCACGGTCGTCTTGTGCTGATTTTCCTATCAAGCATTTCAAAGTGTCCTTTGTATCTCGGTGGATGTGTTTTTTATACGGGGGGTGGGGGGGTGGTTAGTGCTTCTGGTCCTCAGACTGGGAGATGTGAAGCCCCAGTGGCTTGAAGGAGCAGGTCAGGCGTGCCCGTTCTCTGGCCATGCCAGCTGAAGGCGGGGGCCGTTTCCTCTTTGTTTGCTCCCTGTGGGTCGCTGCCATGTCTGGGCATCCATCCCCCGGCAGCCGACCACCCCAAACCCCCGCCCACTGTCCTCATGCCAGGTAACTGGCTCGCTGTGCTTCTGAGAGACAGGGCTCACCTGGTTTTTTGTTCCCCACTCGAGGTGACTGTGCCCCCCACCTTTCCCGGGGGGTGGTTGACAGTCGTTTCCGGGGAGTGCATCGGCAGCCAGGGTTACAGGCTCGGCCCAGAAAACCGACTTAAAAATGCCACAGGTCCCCGTGGACTCTGGGAAGTGGAAAAGGAGGAAGAGAAGGCTTGTGGGCAGGGGAGACCCCGAGACTGGGGTGGGGGAGAG